CTGCAAAAAGATTGTTAAAACAAACCTTCATTTACAGGACTTTTGAGGGCAAAATCGACAGAATTACATCAACATTTTATGAAACTATCCATTTGTTGGTAACAAAAACAAAACATAGGGGTGTACCTTTATCATGCTGGTTTATTCCTGATGTTCCTATTTCTATTTGAATCAATATTTTGTCCATTTCATGACTTCCATCACAAGTGTAGACACTCCATTTCTATGTTGTTACTGGGTCACTGTTTTGAACAGGTTGTGAAAATGGTTTCCATGTACCTACAAAATTATATTAATATTTTACAATCCATTAAAATCAGGGATAAAATGAGTACATCCCTTTCAGACATCTGTACAATTCAAAGATTTTTGAATATTTATTACTGTTGGGATCCAAAGTCAGTTATATAAGATCAAATTCTGAATGTCAAATTCAAAGCTCACTCTATGTCTCTTACGACATCCAAAAGTAACAAAGACACAACAGAATCAAAGAAAATGAACAGAGAACTACTGTCCCAATCGCTACAGAATTCAATTTAACTAAAAATGTTCTCAATTCAAATGTTACAGTTATGCCCAACAGTAAAATCAATTCACCACATAAGACAAGTTTTTCTAAAACTAATAATTTATCATCAAGACTTTTTGATTCCATATATGTTTAGAGATAGTTATAGTTTTGGAATTAATAAAGAAAACTGATAAGATATCCTCATTTATTATCAGGTTATTTTTTTTTTAACATTCCAGGGGAAACTGTAAAATGGACAGCAGAGTCAGACTATCTCAAGATAAATCTAATAGTGAGAAGGGTACACATCAACTTTAAAACAGACTGATCACAAAATATTTTCGATAATAAAATGATCGTGATCCCACAATACTGTTCTTTCAAATTGAACAGAGAATCAAAATAGACAAAAATATTTTCATACTTACTAAATTACCCAATTCAAACTGAAAAAACTTCGGACAACTTTCAGGATAAGACAAACTGGAACCAAACTCTTCAATTCTTCCAAAGCTAAACAAGTTTTTAAAACCATTCTTACTTACTCATACTCAGATAACTTACAATTCTAAATAACAGCAGCGTATCAAAATTAAATTCAGTTCGTTTCAGACAATAATATCTGCATAACAAAAAGATCAAAACGAGGATTTTTTTTTTCATTTTGTGACAATCCTCCACGGGAACCATTGATACATTGACCAGTTTGACAATACTTTTGAAAGTAGCTCATTTATGACATCGATTTGAACAGATTAGATAAATCAGATTAGGTTCCATGACCGAAATACGTGAAAAAGCCAAAACTGGTCCATAACTAGTCAAGATATTCAGAGGCTTCGTCGAAGCTTGGTAGTCGCCTTTTTTTATCCTGTTAATTTAGAAACAAATATAACTCAATGATATATCAATCATTTCTTCTCACAGTTGGGCATGTACCAATAAAGTTGATATATCAACAGATCCACCATAACTTATGGATAACACACCGATTGATAAAATCTGGAGATGACACAATAAATTTGTACAAGGTTGAACAGCCAACAGTTAATACTTGTTGTAGTAGTTTCTTTATATCGTTCTAAATAAACATCAACAATTCACAGAAAGGCTAAGACAAACTCCTTTTTCTTTTCTGTGATAAAAGCTAAACACAATCAAGCAATGTAAAAATAAATAAAAAACATACATTCCCACCCTCCTTATAGCACACACTCAAGTTGATGATTTTAAATGGTTCTCAGGCAGACAACCCACTTCCACTCCATATTGAAAATAAATCCCCTTATATAAAGCCATCAGAGTAAATTTTAAGAAAAAACTAGCCCAAAATCTTTATCATTCAAACCCATTTGACAGAAAATATTTGTGAACAAACATCTGCTAAATTGCTGTTAAATCTGATAGTTCTTGAATCAATCAGGTGTCCCAAGGCCCCTTTTCACAATAATTAGATGACCAAAGAAATTCATTTCAAAGTAAATTCACAGCTGACAATCAGGACAATATTAACACAAAATAATACAAAAACAGATACCATATATTAAGTTTTTTATTTTATATTAATGACTTTCTAAACATTAATACAGATAGACAAAAGTTGAAACTAATCAGGAATCAAAAATAACTTCCATTCATATCAATTCCTGCTAATAGAAAACAGTTTCCTACCACAAAAGAATAATGGCATAATTGCTGGGAAAATGAAATGATTCATTTGAGCTGAAATACTGATAGTTCATTCTTAACTATGAACGCGATTAATATTTACACCCTTCTGTTCTCTACTGAAAGTGGCATGTAGACAATATTTCTAGAAATTAGAAACTTACACACCTTCAAGACTACAAATACAAGATATTCATAATGGCATAAAAAAATGACTCAAAATTACATCTAAAACAGAGAAGCACAAATACATTAATAAAATGAAAAATTACAGATCTTTGGAACCTCTCTATAATACATTGAATGATCACGAACTGGATCATTTGATAGTTTCTTCGAAAATGACAATTACTTTTGACATTTAGAGTTAAAATACAGTCACAATTTAGACAAAACGTATACAGTAACTTGGAAAGCTTTCCATGCCAATGTGTCAGATTTCTCAAAAGCACTATTCAAAATCGAATATTTTCGAAGGTGTAACCAAACATCCATGACAAATCTTTTGACAATGTTCAACACAATTCAGAATTTATTTATCAAATGCAATACTTCACTTTTTATGCTAGATCTTCTACAATTTTCCAAGTCAAATTACGATGGCTTCAATTGGTAAATGTTTGTTGAACAGCATACTTCACATTTCATGACAATTTCGTACAATTAGATAATCAATGCATCCCAAAGCAGTAACCAGATTACATATTGGCAATTTTTCTTTTAACTGCCGTAATTTCAATAAGCTTTTAAAAAAACTAGAATACACATAAAAACCATCTATTTACAAGCACTGTTTAGGACTTTAAAAACTTTTTAGATTCCAAACTTTGTACAAATGGCGACCTTTTGACCTCAACAAACCATCAAAATAAACTGATGAATGTTTGAATAAAGTTTACGTACACAATGGTCTCCATGACAACACTTTTTACCGATACATTCGAACTGAGATTTCTCGGCTTTCAATCTGTGTTTTGTGCATAACATCTAACAAGGGGTTAAGGTTTGGTATAATATCAACAATAGGGTTTGAACTGACTGTCATTGACAAGGGCCAACACTTTAAAATTCATAGACAAAACAGCTCAGTTAAAATGTGTAAATTAATTTGGCCTGTTTCTATTTCAAACTGTACCATTATGCTTTTCATGACTTAAACTTGGCATTCAAATTCAAATTGAGGTTAATTACCAAATATCAGGCACAACCATGAACTGTAGTGATTACGGATCAGTAACAAGAATTACATATTAAAAGGATACTAATAGCTCTCTCAGCATCAGCCTGACTGGCAAATCTTATTAACCCCATTCCAGATGATCTTCCATTCTCCATCTTTATTTCAGCAAATCTCACTTCACCTACGAATTTGTTTATTTCGAAATAAAATAGAAATTCTTGTATGTTAACACAAACAGAATCTTATTTTTTACCATAACAATCAATCTTAGGATCACAAGGTTGTTGCTCCAACAATGCAAGTACTTCTTGCCAAATTTCTTTCACACCATATTGCAAAAATATATTGTCTAAATGAAATGACCCTTCCCTAATAAAATTTTACATCAATCAATATCTACCCTAACAACCAATAAACACATGTACTCACCAACATCAGCAAATCTTTCTTTTAAAGCTTTCCATTGAATAGAGTAAGGTAACTGGAAAAGACATATCAATAGTATAATAAGCTGGCAATAGGTGTTCTCCTGAAGGGTGGGTATTTCTTACAGATAAACCCACTACAGGTTCAAGGAGTTAAAAGCTTGGCTCTGAAAGACACTGGCCTTGAAAACCAGCACAATCGCCTAGTAAGGAATCTAAAGCTACAGCAAATTGTCCAGTACTCATTTATTGAGTGGAATATGAAAAATATATAAGCTTAAATATGGGTCAAATAGACTCTGAATACCAGTGCTTTAAGTTTATTGGCAAGAGATAAATGTATTTCTTGTCAAACACACTGTCAGTCATATGTCAAAAGCTTAGTTTGACTTACATTTTTAACGACAACAGTAGCATTGTCTGGTTTAGTTGTAAATCCCTTTTCAGCCAGACTACCTGATGGACGATCTTCTCTATCATTTCGTCGTCCACGATCACGGTCACCATAATTATCCATACGACCTGAACCACGGTTATCCATCATACCCATTCCTCTATCGCTACCCATACTACCTCCCATATTACTGTAGGAGTCACCTCCCCCTAGTCCCATCCCACCAGAACTCAATCCCATCCCACTTCCAGACATAGGGAGATTACTAGATCTTCCCATCCCAGCAGATCCCATTCCCATCCCAGAACCCATACCACCAGACATTCCACTTCCTAATCCAACACCCATTCCACTTGACATTCCCCCAAGGGGAGCATTAGACATTGCACTTCCCATACCGGGCATGCCCCCCATTCCAGACATACCCATTCCTGACATTCCAGATCCCATACCACTATCCATGCCTAAACTCATACCAGGCATTCCTCCCATTCCACCCGAATCCATCCCATAATTACCACCCATACTGCCGCCTAAACCTCCTCCCATGCCACCTAATCCTGATCCCATACCCATTCCTCCTCCCATTCCACCCCCAGACATACTACCCCCTCCCATACCAGATCCTAATCCTGACCCCCCACCTATTGGTCCCCCACTGTTGAAACCTGAAATGGACAAACAATATAGATCAATACAATGCTGCGAGCCATTGCTCCTAATGAAAATCTCTCCTGACTTATCAAATACCGAACCACAAGCGTATGCACCATAAATATGCGTTTGTCAGTAACATTTCTTTAGTAAGCTTATTCCAAATTAAACCAACCCTGTGAAAATTAAATCAAATTGCATAATATGTACAACTAACAAATTGCATTCTCCACATATGTTGACTTGAAATAAAGGAAAGACAACTCTACCTTGGTTAATATTCTGTAATGGAACACCACCAGAACCTAGGCCCATTCCAATTGACTTTAACCCAGCTACAAAAAAGAAATATAAATTTTTCAAATCAATGCTTAAGGGAATATTTCCTCTTAGAATAACCATAAAATTTGAATCTGTCAGCAATCATTGAAAAATACTTTAAATAACTTAAATAATTACTTAATTTTATGAATAATTACTTAGTTTAATTGATAAATACTAAGTTTTTATTTAAAAACTTAGTTTTTATTAACTAGTAAAAGTATACTTACATGGTAATTTAGGAGGTGGTGGTCCTCGTTCAGTATCTAAATTATCAATCTTCACTGACATTACTCGGTCAAATAGTGACTGTCCATTAAACATAGCTAAATATACAGTTAGGGACAAATACTTCAATATTTCATAATAGTGGGATACCATATAGTAATCTAATAACTTAAATCTTTACAGCTTTTATTAACAACTTGCTCACCACTATCACAATCATGAATATTTATCCTGGTATCTCACGACAAATACTTCTACAAATGATAAGTTTGCTCTGAATACAGACTCTATAATCACATTTTGAATGATATGATTGCTCTAATGCTCTGAATGCTCACTTATATTTATGTTTTAATTGGTGCACCATTCTTTACTTTGCCAATTCTATATCTGTCCTTTGACAGTTATTATTGACCACCTAATTTTAGAAATATTAAATTTCCTGTGAATTGTTATATTAATAAGGATACAGACTGCTTGAACAGCTTCAATAGAAGTATCAAATAAAACTGTTCCCATTCCTCGGCTTTTACCATCTTTACCAACTTTAATCTCAGTCTTTACTACGTTACCAGCTAGTCGGAATACATCCTTCAATTTCTGCCAAGTTACTTTATAATCCAACTGAAATATCAATTCAAATTTGTAGTGCTTACTTAGCACAAAAAAATAGAGTGTTATCAATTACTAAGTTTTACTATTTGGATATCATTTAAGGAGTTCTCAAGAGATTTGTCTCAGGCTTGAGGACGATGGGGGAAACAAATCGAAACGTTACATAAAACTTTAACCAGTGATTGTTGTTCCATAAAGCTGCAGCTATATATAAGTTGAATAATGTAAAATCTCAGTCTAAGCTCTTATTAAATCTCCAGACAACCAATTCGTGTGAAACATCAGTAACACTAAAATAAAAGAGTTAGCTAAAACTACTTACATTGGCCACAAAAACAGAGTTGGTTACAGGACCATCAATACCAAGCTGTTGTAGAAGTTGTGGGCTGATACCGGAAGCTGAGTTACCTCCACCTCCCATCATACTACCACTCATACCCATACCTCCACCCCCCATCGGCCCTGGTCCTCCCATTGGTCCTGGCCCACCCATAGGCCCTGGTCCTCCATGACCCATAGGAGGTCCTCCTCCACTCATTGGGCCTGGTCCTGCAGCTCCTGGTCCCTGGTTGTAATATCTCTTGTCACTGTCTCTCTCCTGTAAAATAAGATAAAAATGTGTAAATTTCCTAAAAACTTAGTTGTTTGGATTTCCGTTGGCTTGGTTTGGTCTTCATATATGTATTAGACACACAAATATCTTTTATCACCAAAGCAAAAAATTTGGTTTTCACTACTATCCAAAATTGCCATCAAAAGATTCAGTAAAATTTTCTGGCCTTCATAGTTCATAAGTATCAGGCATACAAATAGCCTCCGTATTTATAAGACACCTGTTTGGAATCTTTTTCAATTGATTTAACAATAACTGAAGAATCCTAATTCTACTGATTTAATCAATCAGATGATGTGTAACAGATGAACAAGAGAACTACCCACCTCTCTTAATATAAGAGATCTTCCCATCAAGACATGTTTGTTCATTTTCTCTAAAGCTGTTCTGGCCGTTTCTCGATCTCGGAACTCCATGACCCTATAAAATAAACATTTATGTATTTCTTGATAAAAAACCCTTGGAAACTGGAAGACATTATTGCAAGAATTAGTAATTATCATTTTCATTAAATTTGATATCAAAAGAATTTACATGTTACTTACCCCATGCCATTGGGTCTTCCATCTGGTCCCTTAAATAATTCTACATAGACAACATGACCCACTGTAAAATATAATAAAAATCATTATTAGATTATTAACAACAACACAGATCATGACTAAGAAGTTTTATTTCAACTTTTAACACACAACAACTTGAAATTATTGTAAGTCAACGTGACAATATGATCCTGGTTCGAACAAATCTAAGACGGCCTTTCCCAGCTTGCATAACTTTTAGCTCCCAAAACAGGGAAAATGTTGCATATTGACATATAATTATAATCATAATGTTACCTTCTTTCCTAAACAGATCTTTCAACTCCTGCCATGGAGTTTCATATGGAATATTTCTGATGATGATTTTGTTTGAAGATACATTGTTAATTCGTCGACGTTCTGGTGATTTCGATCTTGAGGAACGATCTCTGTCACGTCTTACTGGAGATCTTGATCTAGACCTGGATCTGAATGAAAGGCATGAAAGAATAAAAATTAAATTACACTTCTTCTTCAACTTTTTTTTCAGATTCTGATTTAAATATTTCGCCTTTCGCAAAATCTACTCCAAGAATTTGGGCTGCAGATTATAATTTTCATGCACGATCACAAGAATAGGGAAGCCAATTTAGATTCACTCGCTCCTAGAAAATTCAAATGAAGAGAAAAAAATTTTAAACCAAAATGTCTTTGTCTTGACGCCATTTTCTAATGTCCAACTTTAACACGCTGAAGCCGGGTGGATGGGACGCGATCAACTTTGCTTCAATATTTGCGGAAAAAATACAAACCTATCACGTTTGATGTGATGATGGCTTCGATCTCTTTCTTCGTAAGAAGCGTCCATTGTTTCTGCTTTGATTTAGTGTTAATTTTATTAAAATAACACGATTTTCTACCGCTTCCTTCGTCGACCCTTCCGGTTGGATTTGCTCTAGTTTTTTCCAGGTCAAAGATAAGCCTCGTTTTAATTTAGTGACGTCATCTACAATAGACTCGAATAAACTAGTATTTCATATAACTACTGATTAACCAGACGCTAGTTGACATTGGGATTCGGACGCTATTATTTGACATTGTAATAATCAATCCTATATATATATATCTCATTGGGAATAACAATGCACCGTTGACTATGACTAACCAGACGCTATATGACATTAGAATATCATTACACTGATTAACCAGACGCTATTTGACATTGGAAAATCATTATGTACTGATAAACCCGACGCTAGATTGGGATATCATTTCGTTGATTAACAAGTCTCTATTTGACATGAGATATCATTGCTTACTGATTAACCAGAAGCTATTTGACATTGGGATATAATTACACTGATTAACCAGACGCTATTTGACATTAGAATATCATTGCACTGATTAACCAGACGCTATTTTTCAGTGGAATATCATTATACTGATTAACCAGAAGCTAGTTGACATTGGAATATCATTGTGTACTGATAAACCCGACGCTAGATTGGGATATCATTTCGTTGATTAACAAGTCTCTATTTGACATGAGATATCATTGCGTACTGATTAACCAGAAGCTGTTTGACATTGGGATATCATTGTAGCTTACTGATTAACCAGAAGCTATTTGACATTGGGATATCATTGTAGCTTACTGATTATCCAGACGCTATTTGACATTGGGATATCTATGAGTTATATAAGATTAACCAGACTCTATTTGACATGAGATTTCATTAGATTAACCAAACGCTAATTGGGAGAGGAATAACAATGCTAATTGATATTTAGGCATTAATGATTCAGACGTGGCCATTCGTATCCACTTGTAACTAGTGCTAGCTGCTAGTTACCAATGTTTAACTCACAGAAACTAACGATGTTTGACGAAGTTTCAGTCGAATTGCTATGTGGTATTTGGGTATCATTGCAATTATTTAAACATGGTTCCAAACCGATTTCAGCTTTCACACCCCTGGAGCAATCACGTGGACCTTTCACACCCCAAAAAATTTGTTTCATCCACATTTTTAGCATGTGATGATGTGAGGTGATCTCTCAACTCAAATTCTTCTCTTAACCAGTTGGCCATACCCCCGAAGGTGAAAACGCCCCAGGTTGGGAACCAGGGATTTCAAGACTGAGGTCAATATGTCAGAAGCAATCTACTCATATGAAAAGGGAAAGGGGTTTAAACGATCAGGCAGCAATGGCACGTTAAGCCTCTGTATCTTGCATGCTTGTCTTCCACTGACCCTACATCTTCAAAATTCAACAGATAAAACAGAAGTAATATTTAGTATGAGTTTATTTACATGATGGACTGAAAACAATCTTTCATTTCAAAATGATAAAATACAAAGCATTATAGACATAATATACTGGTACACAGGATGGGGTTGGGAGGTCAATTCGATTCAAGTCCTTGGTGTACAAGTAAGATTCAAAGCATAAACTACACGCATGACTGAAGTTACCAGAATCAATTATTTCTATGTAAGAACAACACATAGTTTTGTATGCTTAAACACAAGCAGTCCATTTTATATTTAGGTAGAATAAATAGTTTATTACCATTATCATTAATGTAATTTAAACTGTTTAAAGCTCTCTTATACTGTGGTCATTACTACTTGAATTACCTGAAAATAATATGGACTATTCGTGTTCATGATTTAAATCATACTATAAACTCAGTGGCGGAGCCAGGTTTACATCCAATCTGAGATTGCCCAAATTCTAACCTAGTTATGAGATTTTTGCCCCAAAAACTTGCTTTCGGGGCTGCAAGGGCCCCTTTGGCTCCACCACTGTATACACTGCACAGAGATAAGAAGGTTCTATGTATATAAATGTGGCAGTATCAAGAGATTTAAGGTTAGATTTGATCAAGTATATCAAGGTAATCTTTTCTGTAAATGTCATTTTCCCAGTTGTTGTTTTCATTTGAAAAAAATGTCTGATTATCAATCTACAAAGATATAGGGCTTAATGAAATATATTTTGATTGATGTAACATTAAATATATACAGCAGTTCAGAGCCATTAAAATGCCATAAGGTGAGAGAAAGACGTCAAAAAACTTTTTCAAAACACAATATCAAAAGTGAAATAATTTTAAAAAATTGTGAGGATGGAAAAAAGCACTATACAATATTAAACTAAAATATATAAAACAGTTATATTCTATGTCTCAATTAATCTAAACATTCACTTTTTCCAAACTTACAAGTTGTAATATCTATGCAATGGCAGTTCTCTATGTCCAGAAATGCAAGCTTTATGCAAATTATGAAAGATGACTAGTGATGAAATGATGGGATATGATCTAATAAATATTTGCTTTACCAGTTGATAGATTTAAATTCCAGTCAATCTATAAATCTATCATACTCATACAGCAATAATTCATACATTCCTTTGTGTTCCCTACTTAAGCATCTTCAATATGTGTCAAGCTACTTAAATGTTACTTGCCCTTGTGGTTAAAAGTTTAGACAAGAAAGTTCATTTGCAGGACAAAATCATATTTGTAAGAGTCAAGTAGTAAATTAAATGGCCTATTAAAGGCAGTGTAATAAATACTAAGCCACCTAGCTATGAATAGTTACAGATAATGCCAAGAGGCTTGGCCAAGGACCAGCTGGTAGACAGAATCTTAAGTACTTTAGATGTCATTCTTTTAAAAAAAAATGGCTGTTTCTAGCTGGTAGACAGAATTATTATGTACCTAAGATATCATCTTGTAAAAAAAAATGGCTGTTTTTAGCTAGTAGACAGAATCATGTACCTAAGATGTCATTCTTGTAAAAATGGCGGTTTCTTTCTTAAGTTGATGTATCTTAGAAGTTATGACAAAATTTTATACCATTTGAAGTCGTACAAGGCAGTGATACGATTAAAACAAGGTGTGCAACAAAATATACTACAATCTAATATCGAGCAATGATTTTTATGCATCTCTGGGAACGCTTAAAAACAAGACAAACACTTGGCTCCCTATCCTCAAAACCTTACTCAGATAAAATCCACACTACGTATTATCGAAACAATATTAGCATTAGAACATCCTAGAAACTTTGTTACAATATAAAGAACTAGGACATCTTAGCATTAAAATCGTTTCGAGAATACGTGGCTAGGTCTTAATAAATACAGTAATTTAGTGATGGACCAATCAGATGACTTGACTACTTAAAGTTACATCATTCAGAATAAAGCCCCTGGTATTTTGAGGTAGTTTAATTGATAATAAACTGACAATAGCCTCGGCATATAGATTGTACCTCAAAAAACTACACTTCTCTTGTTTGAGTTTTGAAATTGTTCTCAGATGTGCAAAAATATCATTGCTCTACTATAACATTCATTATAAAATTTGATCCCAAATATAACCATTCAATCATCTATCGCCTGTCACGTGACCTATCTCTGTCACGTCTGTCACGATGTCTGTCCTTTTCTCTGTCCCGATCCCGACCCCTCTCTCTACCGCTATCACGATCACTGTCTCTATCACGACGTCTGCTACTGGATCTATGTGATGTACGACGTAGAAAATCATCAACATCTCGCTCATACTGAAAAAAGAATTGAAATGATACTTTTCTGGTCCTACTTTCTACTCTTCATAAACTGATCCACCATTAAATGCAAAGCTTCACCTTGAAGAAACTGGCTGGAGATATTGTGACCTTGAAAAAACTAGGACAAAATCAAATTTCACGATGCATCAGTAGAGCATTCACGAGGTACCTGTTGTTGGTGTACATGCCTTGAAATGGTTATTTACTTAATAGAAGGCAAGTTGAACCACCAAATAGCAATCTAAGTTTCATATAATCATTTGCAACTTGCATCTTCACAAGACAAAATGATGTATAACTTTTCTGGGTTGATGTAGGTTTAATATACCTGTTTCATGGATCTTTTTGTGGATTCCGGTTGAGGTGTGGGATAATCAGGTCTCATTAAAAATTCTCGAGGATTTCTGTTATAGGTTGGATAAACTTGTGGTGCTTCAAAATATCCAGGAGGCTAAAAATAATCATTAATAACGATTGAAATAAATAAGCAGAATGAAACATCCTTCTTTCAAATTCCTTATCAAAATATTTTATAAAATATAGTGTTAAAAATATCAGAATATAAGAGGCAAATCATATTGTGTTGGTTAATGTGATCTCTACCCTTAAATGACACTAAAGGATCTGAAAAGAACATCTGAATCCATTGTAAGTCTTTTATTGAATTGTAAGAGCATCAGAAATTGGAATTTAATTTTGAAAAGTAATAAGAGTAGTTTTAGTTAAGAGCTCATCAAAAGCCTAGTTTTGGAAATGGAGTTTAACTCTCTATGATGAGACTGTGCACAAAGTGAGCTCTATTCAAGAAAATATACTTACTGGAGGTCCAAATGGTGGCATAGGTGGGGGGTGAAATTTACCAAACTCTCTCATATAATCACTGTATGACTGAAATCAAACATAATAATATATCTTAAATGGAATACAAAAGATAGTGGACCACATCCATATACACCCACCATGGCATGTGGATTGTAAATATTCAAGACTTAGGAGCAAGGGCAATAACTCTGCATTTAACGGTCGAAAATAGCTCAAATTCCAACTTGATCTTCGTTTTATGAATATGTATACACATACCGAATTTCATTTGATTCCATCAAAAAATCTAGTTTTTAGAGCGTTTACAAGCAAATGTTGATGGACAGACGGACAGGGGTACTGACAATATTCGTCCACATAGAGAGATGTGGGCGTATAATAAAGTGGAGTTTTACTTCCTATTTTTCTGCACCTATTCGACAATGAGAACGAGCAAACACCAGGTGAGTAACGAGGAAATGTTTTGCCAGCACAGTGACAAATGAAATGCAGATTAACTTTAAGTCTATTATTCATTCAAGTTTAAATCATAACCAAGGACAATAATTAAGATTTAATCTTTGTCAACTCGTTTTAATCTATCTGCCACCCTCTCAACTTACTGTCGAGCGACTCCCACCCAGCGAAGGCTTAGAGTCAGCAGTTCTTATTCGAGCACATGATACAAGTATTAGTATGAAATCATAACTTACTCCATTTAAAAAGGTTTCTCTTCTCACTCCAGGAGGATTAAAGTTTCTTGGTCCACCTCTAAAAAAAAATAATGTTTAATATTTAAAAATAGCTTGCCAGGCAAGGCCTTTGATAGCTTTGATTTTGAATGAAATATTTAGCAGTACAGTAACAATCACCAGTATGAAATATTCAACCTTCAGTCATACACATCTTTTGAACTCTTTAGGGCGATACTGAATAATATTGAGTATGAGTTATTGCCCTTGTTCTTGAAAACTGTTCAATTTTTAGCTCGTGAAAATTCCACCTTCAGTGCAGTACTGAATAATAAAACCAAGTTTTGTCAAAATCTGGCAAGAATCATGCCTTTTAGTGTTAAAGAGCTAAAATTTGAAAGCGTTTTCAAGAACATTGGCAATAACTGATACTAAATATTTTTTCGATTTTTTCTTATTTTCGATAGGGTTTATCCTTGGTTGATAACGAACACTCACACCAAGTTTCGTCAAAATATGAATATTATACATATGTTTATTTTGAAAATATAAAAGAAATTTGCAAATTTGTGTTCTGAACCCTAGTGCTAGGTTAATTTCAAATTGGTAATAGTAAATAAGTGCGAATAAAGGTTCGAACATGACACAGACATGATTCATTTCTAGGCTTATCGATAGTTCACCATACTTTGCCTATAAACCAATTAACCATAGCATAGCTTTTAATGCTAAGCGTTTCTGTAAATTTCCTGCTAGCAATATTAACTCACCTATCCATTCTTCTAAAACCACCACCTGTCAACAGACACACAAAAATTGTTAGAAATGCTTTTAAAAAGAGTGGCTTACGACAATGCATCATCTTAAATTTGAGTTCATATCAATCAGAATTTTACAGATCACCAGTTTACCTGCTTCTTTTTCCCATTTCTGGTTGAAGCTTAAGCAGCAATATTGCCTTACAATTATTTCCAATTCAAATGACAAGGTGCTTTTTCAACCTGCATTATGAACTATCTCTGCTCCATATCCTGTAGGTATTTTACACTGCATAATGTGAGAACAGAAGTCTAACCATAATGTGAACACCTGACCTAGGAAAAGGAACAAATTTTTATCTCTTGGAGTCAGAAGTGAAACCTACCATCTCTGTCAAAATCATTCCTCATTCGTTTACGAGGTCTATCATAAAAATCATCACGGCCACCAGGTCTGCGTCTGAAAAGGGGGAATTAGAAGATTAGGAATCTATAAAAGCTAAAAAAAAGACTCTTATCCCTCATGTATCAACGCTTTGTTATCTTTTCAATAGTGAAATAGTACGAGGAGAGAATTATACTCAAAGTCCAAATGACGACTAAATTCTATCGACTGTTCCTTTCTCCACTGCCTAGATAATGGTAAGGGTTAAAAGCTGACTTACAACTGTGTTACAAGAGCACTGACATAAGAAGTAACCCCACTGATAATAAAGCTCCTGTCGAGCTAAGAATGTGCTGGATATATACATCTGATAGTAGCCATTGTTTCTTTATTTTTCAATTTATAATTTAACACACACGCATAATAATCAACCATGACAATTTTATGTGATTTTTTTACCTTTTCATTGCTCCTATCTATTTATTGGACACTACTTTGTAATCTGAATGAGGGAGATGGGTTTGTAATTTGCATGCAAGACATTAGATTTGTTCACAAGCATGTTATTTGTTCTCTGTTTTGTCACTTTATATTTTTCACCACTTTGTAATTTGTTGGGACGACATTAGTTTGTATGTGGGACACTCGTTTGTAAATAGTATATGGGACACTCGTTTGTATATGGGACATTAGTTTACACATTTTTTAGGATTTCAGTTTGTAATTTGCATGTGGAACACTAGAATGTTATTTAAATGTGGAACACCAGAATGTTATTTGCATGTGGAACACTAGTTTGTAATTGGCATGTGGAACACTAGTTTGTAATTGGCATGTGGAACACTAGTTTGTATATGGAACACTAGTTTGTAATTGGCATGTGGAACACTAGTTTGTATATGGAACACTAGTTTGTAATTGGCATGTAAGACACTACATGGAACACTAGTTTGTAATTTGAATGTGGAACACTTGTTTGTATGTGAAACACTAGTTTGTATGTGGGACACTAGTTTGTATGTGGGATACTAGTTTGTAAATTTATTAGGATTTCAGTTTTTGTATGTGGGACACTAGTTTTTAAATTTGTTAGCGAAATATCAGTTTTTAAATTGCATGTAGCACACTTGTTTGTAATAGGCATATGGAATTATACACTGGACACTAGTTTGCAATTTTTTGTGCAAAATTAGTTTTTAATTAGCATGTGAGACAGTATTAGTTGATTGAACACTAGTTTTGTATGGATGTTGCACATTAGATTCTAATTATAATGTAGTTTGTATTTTGTATGTGGGAAACTAGTTTGTAATTTGTACGTGGGACACTAGTTTGTAATTTGTTGACTAGATTGTAATTTGTTGATTAGTTTGTAATTTGTTGACTTGTTTGTAATTTGTTGACTAGTTTGTAATTTTTGATGTCTGGTTTGTAATTTTTGATCTCTGGTTTGTAATTTGTTTAGATGCAATTAGCATAGAAGATATTAGTTTGTAATTTGTAAAAAATAACCTCAATTTAATTTCATACTTTGTAACTTATGTGATGCTTTTCCTAAGGCATTATGAAGGTATTTGCAAGATGAAAAGAAACACATACCAGTATAACAGGTTTTGTTCTGCATTCAACAGGAATAATCCTTTAAAGGCAGTCACACATTAACACAATAATAATCCCAAATCATGATTCAAGTCCCCAAATTATGTTCAGAGTAAAAACACTACCTGAACATTAGTCCCTTAAACACAATATAAAACCCTGCCACAAACCTCTGTCCAAAAGAACTATGTTTTAGTCCCTGAACTAGTTCAAATAATAATGAACTTTAGTCCTCTCTTAGATTTGCAAGTCCAAATGATATTTTAACACTTTTTATTCTTTTTAGTCCAAATTTGGAACTTTTAGATTTGCCGTTTTTGTGGTTTTAGTGAAAGTTCATTTCATATTCACATTAATGATAAGAAATCAGTTCATGATTTGTCGAGAATTTGGGAATAGTTCATGATTTTGTGTGGAATCGATTGACACTACTCCTGGGAAGCAAGTACTTTACATGATGGTTGGTGGACTGGCACAAATGTACGATTTTAGTCCAAAATTTGGCAAAATCTTCATTTGGCAATGGATTTGTTTGAAGTCCTGGATGGATGACTTAACTTCACAAAAGTCTATTTTTAGCTCGTTTCCATTTTGAAACATCACTATGGCAACACTTAGTGATATTTTCAAAGTTTTTTTAATGAATTTTAAACACTTGAACTCAATGTTGAGAGAATTAAGTCTGTTAAAAACTTGATTCTGGGCCTGAAACACCCTCGGAAAAATTATAATACAACCTGATAATCTGGACTATTTTAGTTTGGATGATCAAGTCTACATACTTACCACCATTTTAAAACTATGATTTTATAAGTTTCATTATGATTGGAAACCTTTGTGAACTTAAGTAATAAGTTTCATGAATGTTCATTGAACAAAACCTGGCCTTTCTTGAGGAAAGACAGTGGTTCATTTGATATTTGATTTTGAGATAATCAGCAAATATTAACCAAGAATTCTGACGCTAGGTCAATCCTCGTCCGTGAACATCAATTTCACCAAACACAGTAATAATTCCTAACCTATTAAATACTCCAGCTGATCCTCCCCCTCGACGGGTTGTTTGAAATTTTTCTCTCGTTTTCTCTGGGTGATGTACAGTACGTTTTCCAGATTTGACTATTTTCTTCGCGATGGCGATAAGATCTATATTATCATCGGCAGGAAACAAGCGACATAAAGTTTCTCCACATGTTGGTTCTATTTCCTGAAAAGTAGACAATGATCTGTGATAATGCAGTGATGAAAATGGGTGAATTAAAAACAAATATGGTGCAATCACACTACAGCAAGTCACTATCCAGTAGACAAACTAAGTAATAGTACAATAAGTGACCACACTTTGGGAGTTAAAATTAATGAACCTCTTCCTGAAATATTATGAAGATTGGGATGATTTCTGCCTGCAGCAGCAATTTGATTGGATTATACACTAGTGAAAACACAATCAGAGGTTTTTACCAGTAATTATAGGCACAAAGTATTGACTGTATTCACTAACTTACAAGATACAAGAAAAGTGCAATTATAAGTCAAGGTGTTAGGCCAGGTTCATAATATTGTGAAGATGTCCTAAAAATCAGTCAGAAAAGAGGAGTTTTGCTAAAAAATAAAAGCTAATCACATTACCTGTCCATCTCTTCCTATCTTGACAGGTAAATTATCATTCCATGGATTGTGAAGATGATTTACTTTAGTAAATGATAAATCATGTCTGAAAAATAACAATATCACTAATTCAACAACAAAAAAATGTATATGATACATGTAAGGCATCTAGGTCATGCACTTAGGTTTCAAGAAACAAGACAAAAGGAATAGGGTTTAAATTCCTTAGTAACAGGTGGAGGTTCTCTGACTATATATAAGACAATCCACAAGAATAAAAGCTACATACCTAGTAATCCAGTCTAATTTAAAGACACCGCTCAAGGCTCTAGCTGACATACCAGGTGGTAAAACCCAGCGTATTGGTGGATGATCTTTTGTAGCTTCTTCTGACACTCTAGCAAACCCTGGTTGTAGATAGAAGTTTTGTATTATGAAGAAAGTGAGCAAATGGTTATCTAATCAACTGGCAAGTCTTGAAATTACCTTACACCTACTGTTAGTCAGGTTGATTGCCAGGCAAACAAATCTAGCCCTACCTAGTTCTTCAGATTTATGAAGTATGAATGTTAAAACAGGCCTATCTGTGATGATACAACATCTGTATATCACATCTCAGAGGCTGAGTAGAGCCAGATTTGTAAAGCTAGTTGATTGTTGCCTTTACCCACAAACAAAATAACAGACAGCTATAGATAATAGAGCCAATGATGCATTCAAAAATATTTAAAAATAACATCATTTAATTGCATGGCTTACTTGTATTAAAGGAAGAGTTCAAATATAATTCTTTTTCTTATCATAATAAGTGACTTCATTGAGAGAATTGATATTTTATAATAAATCTTTTACCTACCTTGAAACCTTCCACTTTCTTTGACAGAAAATATCAGAATAACATTATCATATTCCTATAATATAGAGCAGATATACTATAATTAAACTACACCCAGTTTGGATTTTAGCGCAAAGTACATGTAACAAAGAACAACGATGACAGCTGATGTAAAGTAAACAGTAATGCGAAAAATCAGGTTTATGTCAACGAAAGCAATCACAATGTGAGTGCAAAACAAATTTTCAGGATTTGATTAGATACTCACCCTAAAAGCTTGATTCAGTCTGGCTTCATTTTGGGGTGGCGTTGACCACACCCCTTTAGCTTTAGCCAGGGCCACATTCTCATGATTATTACTCTTGATTAGAAAATAGCAGGCGTTTCGAAACACATACTTTATCTTAGATCTAGCTCCTACAATCAAAATATGTATTTTTATCAAATAGGCACACAAACTGAAAATAGGTTAGTTGTTTGAATTTCGCATAGCATGAAACTCTGAGTAACAACAAGATTCAAGTTTTGTTTTAATATTTCTATTTCATCATATCTGTTATACTAATCACTTGTGTATATGCATGAGAGCAGCTTCAAGGATTGTTTTCTTCTACTGATTATCTGTATCAATAATGAATCATACCACACACAATATGAACAACAGCATTGTGTTCTTAGAATAGCTACCAACAGTAAGCAATTCACTAACATGTAAACGACTGTCAGTCTTGCAGTAATTACAAACTATAGTTGTAATCAATGGACATCAAGATTCAGTTATCTTGATAAATTTCAAATAATATTTTGATAACTTTTCGTTTAACGTAGCTTAATTTTTATCACTGTGAGAAATATGATTATAAATTACATACGTCTAGAATCATCATCACTATGGTTACTAGTTTGATCCCACTGTATTGGTGAAATATCACGTTGATCAGACGATTTACGTTTTCTACGTCTTTTCTTTCCACCTTCATCATCTAGAGAAAGAAAGACATGTTAATATAAGAAATAGGGTTGTTAATTTTACTGTGCATGCAAGTCAGGTCAAATAAGTCAATAAGATGTCATTTTAATAAAAGATGTCTCTATTAGTACATTTATATATTCACTCTTAAAATGGACAACACAACTTAAAACACTAAAATATTCATTTGTGAACATGTTAAACAAATCCACCCTTCAGAGACAAATGAGCTCATTCAAACATATGATATAGATAGTAAAAGCAAATGTGAGGAAGATTCTAATAAATGACTGGAACACTATTTACACTTGATATTCATAACCAATAACATAAACAGTATCTAATACAAGACTACAAAATTATTTACAAGAATGGGAAAAAAATCTATAGAAACTAAATTTGCAATACACATACAAACACCAATTTCAATTGACTATCTATAGAACTCCACTTTTTCAATTTCTAAATCAAAAGCACAGACAAGACAGAGACACAAGACAAAGTTTTACGAACAAAAATTAAGATCTAATCTAACATCAAAATATAACATACTATCTGAACCTGAGAAGGAACTTTCAGCCTCGCTGCGTGTATCATATTCCATATTCTCTTGTACTGGTTTTATTTCATCTGTTTCATCAGCTGATAAACTCAGGTTTAATTTGTCATCCTCTTCTACCATCTTCTCTACACCTACAAATAGAAATTCATTTTATCATCAAAATCCAGTTAATTTCAATTCAATACCATAAATTATCACAAGACATTTTGGACCAATGACAACAAAGACCACTGTTTGTAAAATCTTAGAAAAATATATGACAGGTCAATGTTTCATGTTACTTGGTCGACAAAATTATTATTACTTGGTGTATATGCTAGACTAATAATATCCTATACCGGTACTTTGAATTCAATATCAAAACCTCTGAATAATTACAAATATTCATATCATTAGAGAGTAAGAAAGCTCCTATCTTCTCACCTTCAGGTTTTCTGATTTTCTTTTTATCTGGGCTAGGAGTATTTACTTCTGTTGATTTAACTGTCTTTTTAACAGGAGATTTGTTTATTTTTGTTGGAGTTTTAACTTTGATACCTGAAAAAAAATATTCTGAATGCTTAAAAGAAAGAAAACATCAATAAAGTCAGTGGTAAGAAGATCAGGTTCAATTGAGCAAAGATATTTCTGCATACCTGGGTCCGATTATGACAACTTAGGTACCGTAACGATTATTACATTAAAAATAAAAAATCAACCAACCTTTATCGTCTTTGACGTCAGTATTGAGGTCGTTTTCACCTTCCAATATAGCGTCTAATACATTAACAACAGCATCACTTGCAGTAGTGGTTAGTTCATCTTCACCAAGTATTGCATCCAGGACATTGATCACACTTTCAGAACCTACAATTTTTGACAAATGACAGAAATCAGAAAATTACTCTTTGGCTTTCTGGTCTTGACTTAAATTCAAAGCTTGCTGAAAATCTTATCGATACGATCTATGTTAATAGCCCAAATATTACAAGTAAAAAAAAAGATATTGTTCATTCAGAGAATAACAATTGTCTATTTAACAAATGTGAAAAGGATAGGCTACATTTTGATTGATTTTCAATTTTGAACAAATGAAAAAAAAAGTCAAAAATATAATTTTAGTACCTTTAGAGCCCTCACTTTCAATGTTCATTGCTTTTCATTCGGACCATTAAAGTCTCTGCATCGTCCTTCAAGAACCAAATTTACATTCACGTACAGAAAAACCATGAAATATAATTATTTTCAAACGGAATTCCCTTCTTCTCGTAATGAAAATCAAAATGGCGACGTCGTGGAGCGTTGATCTCGTTCTTTAACGCCAAATCTCGACATCTATCTGGTTATCCAGACGAAAATTGATATCATTTAATTTTGTGCTACCAAAAAGGACTGGTTGATTGCGCTATTATAAACAAAACGAAAGTAAACCAGAAGTATTCTTTAATTCATTTCACAAAATATACGCAATTCCTGCTGGGTATTGTCAATATTCAAGAATTTATATTTTTTCCTATCTTATTGTGAAAAGTAAGTATGGTCTGCCTCATTGATTTTGAGTGCTGATAGACATTTGTAAGAGGGAATCTATATTTTTGGAAACCTGCCTGTTCAAGCTATTGTACGTGTACTAGGCCTAGTAATCAATCAATCGAGCAAGCAAGGCAGTCGTGGTACTGAAAAGGCAACTAAAACTCCCCTATTTCAAATGAGCTCTTCCAATCATGCATACACAGCAGTGATGTTGATAGAAAGGATGCAAGTGAAGGAGTTCAATAGAAAGTTGAGGGGTGTCAACTGACACACTATCTAATCCAGCCTTGGCTGTAATTCACCCCATTCTTTTTTGTTTTATTCTTGCCTATTAACTCTGCTCATTTCAAGCCTTACATGCGATTTATTTTAAAATGGTCCGGTCCAGAAAGATCATTGATTGAAAAGAAATTTTTAAAATCTAAAATCCAGTCCATTTTGGTAGCAAAAAATTGAAAAATTTAATTTTTAGTGTAGATAAAGATAATTTTTGTTCAAAAAAGGGATTCCAGAGGCTAAGCTGTTAGCATATGTAATCTTGTGAAATATGGTTGTAGCCCTCTTTTTATTAGGAAAAGAGTAACTCTATGTTACAGATAAAAATAGTGATTGAATTAACCAATCAATCAGTAAGAAGTAATCTTTGAGCAGTGAAAAATGGAGATTGAAGAAGAACTAGAAGTTATAAAGTCTATTTACTGTCAACCAGGAGAAGTAGAAATTACTACAGGTACCAGTAGTCTTGACTTGCTAGTCTTAGTTTTGAAAGACATAAGGCATTTTTTTGCGAAATTGAACCCCATCAGAAGTAAATGGCATATAGGAACAGGGTCTTGCCTTTCAAAAAGGCTCATACATGTAATTGATTTTTGATGGTAATGAAGGATGTTTGGAAGAATCTAAAATTACTAATAAAGTGTGTTCCTTGTAGAATTCTAATTCTTACCACTCTGTGACAAATTTTTAACATAAAAGAATAAAAAATAAGGCTTGATATTCATTGTTTTTATAATCTAATTTTATTACAGATGCATGTAATGGTTATCATATATCTCTACATCTGACTCACAACATGTTATCTACCTTCGCTTTAGATGTCAACATTGTGGTTTCAAGCCAATACCCTAGTAGACCTCCTGAAGTCTCGCTGATCAGTCGTACTGTTTCTGTCCGTGACGTGAAATCACTGAAAGCCAAGGTTTCAAATTTGATTAAAGAGTCACTGAGCTTGCCCTGTGTAGTTGAAATCGTGACATTGATAAGTGAGGAATTTAATAATTTGGCGTCTGATTGTTCTGATATTTCCAAAGAAACTGAAGATTTCAATAATTTGACGCCTGATTTCTTCAGAATTCCCAAAGAAAAGGAAAATGTTGATTCACAGACTACAGTAGCTGTGTTACATCTAGATCATATGAGAGCCAAAACACAATATGTGAAACTAATAAAGAAATGGACGAATGAACTCAGTTTAAATGGTCGTCTTATCTTCTATAATAGATTGATATTGATAGTTTTAATTGGAGATTCTGAGGATATTAAGGTATATATTATTATTACTTACAGCCCTACTAGATCTGAACAAAGCGGCTGATGAGAAAAGCTGACTGCTTCTTTGATTGGTAGGTGTTGAATGCTGACACCTGACCAACTCTCAGAAGCACTAGCACTGTGGCGTCAGCATTTTTATCCCTTGATGATATTTTACTATATCCCAAGGAGATATTCCATTAGTTTAGAGCAAACAAGTCTGACTTTTTGATTTTTTAGAGGTAAATCCTCTGAACTTGCTGGTCACAGATCAGCAAACCTAATTTAAATATCCAAGAAGTTTAAATAGATTTAATCGTCAATCGGAAAGTATTATGTTAAGAATACCCTTGATGTTATAAAGATTTCAATGTTTTTAGGAGTACATCCATCGTAATAGAACTATCAATATTGATGTTGATTCTCGAGGTCAGAGTTGTAAAGAAAGGATGTTGTCTGTTTTATGTGAGGAAAAAAAGAATATCAGGTAAATTTAAGTCTTTTCTACCAATTGTACACAGGCACCTGTTTCTATCAATAGTCGACTCTATATTATAATATATAACTATTATAATAGAGAGAGTCGACTATTGATAGAAACAGATGCCTGTGTAATTGTACTAGAATTTAAGGGACATGTTCACCATCCATTTGATCAATCATACTTTAGTCTCAGAAACAGGAATTGTTCAGCCAAGCTTATCATTAATAATCTTCATAGCTGACCATCCGAAGACTATTTACATTTTCAAATACATAATCCAGCCCCAAAATGTGTTTTTTTGCCCTTTAACAGAGCAGAGCCTATAAATCCCTTGTAAGCATTACCTCTGTAAAACTGTCTAAAATGACGCAGCATTGACAAACCCAAATTTTCAATATAAAAAAAGTAAGTCACAGACTGGAATCTTAATTCCTGAAATGTGCTTGATTTTAGCTTTCAGTTTGTACATTGAAAAGTTAATCAATTATTTAGCTCCCTTTTGAAATTCCCCCAAGCATTTCAGAGCCTATATTGGCGTCACCCATGCTTTTATCTTGTTAGTTATAATGTCATGTTGATATTTTCAGTATGAATAATTTTGAGGTGATGAACTGTGAGAAAGAAGAAGATGTATTATCAATATTTACTGGGGGCTTACGAGATATCTATAATAACTATATAACATGTTTAACTGGATACGGCCTGAAATCATGAGAGGGTGAGTTATCTTTATTCTATTACTGTTTTCTCACATTCAGTTATTATTGATATGACTTCAATGGTACATGCTCTACTCAGGCATGACTGGCTATAATACAGCAGATCAACAGTACAACTTCATTTTCCATGACTGGCAAATTTTAGCATATCAAGAACCCTATTGATGTCCATTGACCAGTGTGTTAGACACATAGACCCTATCAGATCGTTTATTGACAATATAAATTGACATTAGAATGTAAACATGGTCGTGGAGTTGACAAGGGACATAATAAATTAATTAATAAAGTTTCTTATCATCCAGTCAGTTTATTAATAAATAACTTTGTTACTCACCAATCAGTTCTTATTATTAAAGTCATATTTCATTTTGTTTTGATCAGATTTTTCAAAATTGTTTTATCAGTTTAAATATCTTACACTGTCACTGTTGGAATCTAAGGTAAATTCAGAAGGTTTTCTTTCATAACACAATTAAATTTGTAGGTAAGATAATCATTTTTCTGAAATTTCGGAATTTGAAATGATAGTTAAAGGTGTATTAATGCAATGAATGGGCTCGTGAAGACAGACAACCCATGTAGTGTACAATGAGTAAAATTTTACAAGGATAGTGGCATGAGTCTTGAGTCAAGTGTAATTAAGCAATAGGGTAACAGTTTATTGCTTACATTTACGTTTTCAAGACATTATAATTTTGATACAAAGACTTTAGTATGAATTTAAGTAGGGCCTATTTCTTTATGTTTCAACATTTGGCACTACATACATGATTGTTTACATTGGAGACCTTCTATTAGATACAATGATGTCAAAAAATAACGACGTTATTGATTTAAATTACTACGCCTAATGTCTTGGTGATGAGGCAATGGCATTTATTGTGATATAAGCGCCACACAAATTTGCATCAGTCCAATGGACAAAACAATAGCTAATGGAAATATAGAGATGCGCAGACTGCATCGTATCAGGAATACGCGTTATGACATAGTCTTATTAACCCAAGAAGTATGACGAATGGGGGTGTGGTTTGGACACGATGCACAGACTGTAGCTCACCAGACCTTGGTTTATTGTCAGTATAACATTTAATTCTTACTCTGTTATTAAACTATCAGACAAAAATTTTAAGCTTGCTATGTAAATTGCACTTTAAAGGGGTATTCCGCTCTTTTGTAAAAAGCTTTCATTATAAAAAACATCGTAAAATATACCTGAAAATATTTCTAAGATATGGTATTTATATCTATGTATCTTCTTGATCAAATTAAATTTGTTTTAAAAGGACTAATTAAAAATGGAGAGTAATATTTGTTAATTAAGCAGATTGGCCTAATTTTGGTGTTTGGCTTTATAATGGCTCGTTATATTTAGTTGAAACCTTTAGAATGCGTAGGAGACTATATTTCTCTACAATTAGGCATTTATTTTACTTAAATCTGAATAGTATTTTTCTAATAGCTTCCAAAAAGGGATAACAAACTTAAAAGCCTTACGTATATTTTTAAGTATTTTTGGAATTTAAAAGTTTATGAAAACTTTCAGATACCTTAAAGGGCACATTTCTCTAGATTTTGGTGTATAATTTTCACCAATTTGAGCAAAAAAATTAGCGGAATGTCCCTTTAAGTGGTATTATAACTTGTTTTAAGCTTTATCACAGCATCAAAGATTATTTTTGAAAAAAATGCCTGAAGAATCTTCTGTGAATAGAGATAAATTCACCTCAATAGTTGTGACTTTGTTTACAGGTTGTCAGGCAAATAAAACAACCTGATTTTAACTAGTTTACATTACATAGATAAATACTTATAGAAATTCTCTTATCATAGACTCTATTAAATACAAACAAAAACTGTTATATATCTTCATAGAAATTCATTCTTTACATGTTCAATTTCAAAACATTAAAGCAAATATTTGAAAGGCATTCACGACTTTATTTGAAAAAGAGTTGACTTAAGTTGAGAAATTCTGCTAAAAAAGGGTCAACTTTAGATGAAAAAGGTTCACAAAAGTTGAAAAAGAATCTCTGTATGAGAATTGCTCAGTGATCTATTAAACTGATTGATTTTAGCTATTGATTATGATATAGTTATTAGGTGAATTATGAACTAGTTTTATGCTCAAATAGGTTAATAGTCAACAGTAAGGTCATATATCCAAATAAAAAAGTTATAAATTGAAATATAAAGGGACTATAAAGTCATAAATAATGGTATTACATGGAACAAGTGGTTTGAATTACCCCCCTGTTTATATTGGTGAACATACTCCTATACCATAAATAACATAGTCAAATTCTTTGCCGTAAAATTTTAGAATACTGTGAAAAACAGTCTTGTCCCTCTTTTATTTAGAAACCTTCATACATCAATTTGATTTTGTTTTTTGATTCTGAAAGTTTGTCAAATGTTGTCAATAGAAATATTCATTGAATTTTTAAACTATGTACACTCTAAAGTCCTGATTTTAATTTACTACAGCTCATCTTAAGCAGTCGGCATGTGTTTCAGATATCAAATACTTGTCAGGACTAGTCTGGAATTGGTATTTAACCAAGCAAATTGTTTCAGATATTAAATCGTCATCAGGACTTGTCTGGAATTGGTAAACTCTCAATGTAAGACTTGAAACTTATTGAACAGGTGAATGAAATCTACAATGAGAATATTCTGCAGTAGGACTACCCTACCATCTATTGGACCTGGGTTATAAAAACTAGATATAAAGACTTAAGTATTATTGTAATGAATATCAAGATTAGGACATATTCTCTGAACAGTTGGGAGAAATCTATCAAAAGAATATTCTGCAGTAGGACTCCCTACTCTAGCTATTTGAGCTGGGTTATATAAAGACTAAAGTAATTTTTTAATGAACTAGAAGTTCTTGAGTCAATAAACAATTTAACCCTCTATTCTTCAATTCACTTTATATTGTATTGGTGTTTAGTTTTCATAGGGGCTCACTTGTAATAGTAAAGGTGGATACCTCCAACTAGGGTTAATTAGACATTTCTTACTTTACTGTATGACAACAATATTAGCAGAATTGCACTTTGTCAATCATTTTTGACTTAATTGAAATATGAACTTACAAAATATTACTGTGAGTGTCAGATTGAGCTTTGTGTGATAAAATAATAAATTGGAAATAAGAATTTTATTTGTAATATTTCCATGCAATTCTGGCATCATTTCTAACACATATTTTACATGGTTCAGAATAAGGTCCAAACTGACATGGTCCTCTCTAACTTTGAAATTTCACAGACAAAATTTTAAGTTAAAATTCAAATCTAATTGGATAATAATAAAAAACAATTTTAGTGATTGACCTATCAGATGACTGGAACGCTAAAATCATCACAAGGAATCTTCCACATCATTTCATAGTTGTATCTTTGACATTGGAATATAGGGTTCAAAATTATAAAGATACTATCAGTGTCAGAATTATCTCAAAACTTCAACAAGATTGACTTCTAGCTTACACAGGTCAAATGTTACACTGAGGGGACTCCAACTTTAACAATACAAACAAATAGTAAGATAAGTAGACAACACTATTAGACATATTTTTTTCTAAAATAAGTCACTCTTGTAGTTTACTAGTAACAACATGGACGTAAGTGATTAATTTTTTTTTTGAAATTTTAACTTTTTTTCAGCAATATCAAATTGTCAATTAAACAATGTCATAAATGTGGACATTCTAAAAGATATGATCAGACGTCAAACTCAGACAATAAGTTAAGTTATGTCTGGTTGTACAGCTATGTTGTTATTTAGTGTAATTTTTGTTCATCTTGAATTAGTTTTGATGTCAAAATTTTGTAAAACAATTTGAAAAGGATTTGTTTATTATCTGCAGGTGAAAACAGCAATGATGGCAAGTTCTACTACCAGACCAAAATTAGACAGAACTATTCATACTGTTAAAGAAACAAAGGAACCAGAGGTTAAGCCGGTACCTAGTAGGAAAATCTCAACGTATGCCAATCTTAACCAGGCCTTTTTACGTCCTCGAGTGAGCTCCATAACTAAACGTGACAGAAAGATATCAGTGTCCAGTCGTGACCATGACAGGTACAGCACCAGTTCGCAAGAGAATTCTCATCGATCAGTAAAATTAGAAAATACTTATCAACTTGAACCAAGCGTTAAATTTCAGGAAGAGAAAATCGAAAGGATTATTCAAGATGTTTTAGAAAGTGAGCTTCACGATATGGAATACGACCCAACTACCTCGGCCAAGACATGTTTGAGTCTTAGTACTCTTATTAAAGAAAAGGTTAAAATGTTGAACATGAAACGATATAAGATTATTTGTTCCATTGTGATTACAGAACAAGCTAATCAGAGTTTAACGATGGCGTCAAGGTTTTGCTGGGACAAAGAACATGATAATTTTTCTAGTGCGACATACAGTCAGCCTAATTTACATGCAGTAGGAACTGTATTTGGTGTTTATTTAGATTAGTTACTATGGTAATATATTAAATTATATCATTTAAAAATCATGTTATGAATAGATTCAATAATTGTGATGTCTTGGCCTGTGCTTCCAAGGATCTGCCTGTAATTCCAACATTTATTCTGAACAGAATTCTAAAGGTCCCATATATAATTAATTGATTCAATGAAATGAATTGACGGTCCTCATTCTTTGATCCGTCAATAGTTGCTTCAATTATTTGCAATCAATGTCCCCCGTAATCGATCATTTTTCTCAAATGCGGCCTTAAGATTTAAGGGGGAAAAGACAATGTACGGTGTCTGGTAAGATGTATGGTGCAGGATTATCGATACAGTAGAAGAAAATAGAAGAAATGGCTTCTAGTGGCTATAGTGGAAAAAGTGCCCTTTTTGGAGAAACAAATTATAATAATTGATATTTTCAGTGACTTGTTGAGCGATTTATTTTGACAGATTGATACACATTTCCAATTTTATTAAAAATATTGAAATTCGTCTTTTTATAACAGGGATTTAGAACCCCGATTTATTGTCCCACATGACTGGTTGTTTTTCTCTGGGGTGGACCCAATTAAAATACATCATTTATAAACTCTAATTAGTCAATTTTATTGAAGTTATAACAACCAATCAGATAGCAGTAAATTATTCAGATATGACAATGGACCAACTCTATTAAGTTGAGAGACTTGACAATCTAGCCACAGATTTTAGTATTATGACTATATATTAGTGTCTACAAGGAAAATAAAGCCAGAACTTAACAACTTGCACAAAATATCATATAACCAAAATTTACTGTATAAAAATTTACAATGTGATTGTGGCATTTTTTTTTTTCAAAACTAGACTCAAGTCTAGGAAATTCAGTGAAGGCTTCAAACAGCTACTACTGATAATAGATTCAAAACAGTTGAAAATTGAACTGTAATAAGAACTACAAAGGGACTTTTCTAGTGTGAAAATTTACTAACATCATAAGACAAGGAATTTCTTAAAAGCAATAAATTATTCAATTTTCCCTTACCACTTTTGAGATTACATTTTTTTTGTGTATGCAGTAAGTCTTCAATTAAATATAAGTTCTGAAAAATTAAATTAAATTTGAAACTATTGCAAGCGGCTGTGTAATCGCCCTGCTATGGACAAAGTCACAAGAAAATAAGGATGGGGTGTCATGTTCTTGCCCCTTTTTTTTCACTGTAATGTAACATTTCTTTCAGATTTCCAGCATGCCATAATACGTGTTTTTATCAATTGAAACAAGTGACTGATTTTTTGTTGGAGGGTCACATATTTTGACAATTTCCCACCCCTCCTCTCACACCTGACCCCCCTCCCTCAAAATCTAAATAAACATGAAACAACGGGAGTTAAAAATAAATCAATGTTTGTTTTGTATCGAAACCGATATTACTTCAACATCACAAAAATAACGTGGAAATTAAAGTTCTTATTTAATACCAGCTCATTAGCAATCTTGTTAACGACCTATTTAATTAGCAGCTTGTTAACAAATTTGTCAAATTCCACTGTCACTGATATTTATATTATTTTAATACACAATAAAGTCTCGAATTCACCAAATATTTTACACTTTCACCCTTCCTCTTCGAAAGTTTGAGAGAGCAGGAAATTTGCAGCTAAATCTTCATTCTTTTCACAGGCGAAATATGCTTGGATACACATACCTTCTGGGAAACCTAAAGCTGTTAGCTGGAATAATAAAAAAAAAATCAGTTTATAGAAATAATGAGATAAAGGCAATGTAAAAACATTTGCATGCATCACGGACACTAATAGCATAGACTTACATCATTCCAACTGTGGTTCTTGCTATTCCACTAAAACTAGGCCTTTTGCGAAGTCACTATCACAAAAGCTGCTAACAATATCTTAAAGGGACTAAGGGGCCATTTTGGGAGGGTTTATGACGAGTCGTCATTTTAACATTCAAACGCGGATAATTCTGGACAAACATGGATTTGAAGGGTCGAATTTCGACAGTGAGCTGTGGCTACTATTACTGATTGACTTAGCTAAAAAATTCCTGTTTCTGAGACTAAAGTATGATTGGTCTACAAGAATGGTGTGTCCGTATCTGTCCCTTTAAGGCTTTTGTGATAGTGACGTAATAAATCACTTAGTTACAGTAGTAAAAGTGATGCTATCAGTGTCCCCAATACACAGAAACATTTTAGAAAACCTCTATACAATCACTTAAACTTTCTTCTATTCAGGCCCTTATTGAAACCAATTAGGAAATGAACATACTGTTCTATTTTGCAATGCCTGTCTTAAATTGTCGGATTATCTACCTACCCATCTACAGTCGTGTAAATATAAATTTGTAAAATGAAATGTCCTACTTTTCTGCACTATGTGGGCTGGCTAATGAAGAAAAATTTTCTAAATCTATAGCACTAAAGCTATAATGCTATGAGCACACTTGTATGTGGAGTTAAGCGCTATATATATATATTAATTATTATTATAGCAGTCCTTATTTATAAATGTTTAGCACTTACTCTGTCGATTGCCTCTTTTTCTTGGGGTGTAACCTGAATAACACCTTCCTGAGGGGTGCCACCACCCCCACCACCAGCCAATGGGTTACCTCCCCCTGCAGCCTGCTGTTCTCCACTTTCCTCTGGTAAATCAGAATTTAACATTTCTATAAAACTTTCTTGATTTTCACTAATTATCTACAAAAAGAATCAGTTATAATTATAAAATCTGTAATAAAACTAAACATGTAGATGACCTGATTCAGCACAAAACAGACAGTTGTCATTTATTATGATGATTATCAACTGATTTGAAGTGAAGACAAAACCATCAGGTCAATTTTCAGCAGTTTTAGGTGAGTTCGGCACTTTCAGGATTTATGAAATCAACGAGAAGTACAATAAAACAACTTGGAGCTGGTTTCAGAATGCCCAAAAAAAGTGCCCCAAAAAAGTAGGAGTAGACAGGTTTCAAAATGGCAGAAAGGAATAGAGTAGTAAAATTGAATGTGACATCTCTTGGAGAATTAGAACAGGCAAAACCTCAGAAGTAACCAATCGAGCACCATCTCGAAAGGATTCTGGAAATAACAAGAGTTACCTACCCTTAATAAATTGGGATTTGACTGTCCTATTTGTTGTAATAAAGTAGGTAAAAGCTGTGGATTTTCTCGAATAACTTGTCTCATTCTGTGAAACTGGGGTTGAGTTCTCAGGAAAGTTAAGTCTTGACCTGTAAAATACAAAATAAAAAATTTATTCCAATTAAGCCCAAAAATCAGCCTTTTTTTTTAAAAAGTATTTTAAGGCAGAATTTCTTCAATTGAAACATAATAAATGTTAAGTTTCATGTTTTAGATGTCTACACTTGTTGCCTGTTGTTGACAACTGATAGCTGTCATCCTCATTGTGGATTAATTTTCTTTCCTTTAAAAAATATTAAATAAAATCAAGACCTACCTCCTAACTGTTCTAAAGAGGGTGCTCCTCCAGCTGTGGGGCCGGTACTTGCTGGGGTACCAGTGGCAGCTGGGGCAGTTGTAGCAGGAGCTCCAGTCGCAGCTGCTGGGGTGGCTGTACTAGCTGGGGTACCAGTAGCTGAACCAGGGGCAGAGGCACTGGCAGCCGGAGGTGCTCCCCCCACAGCCGGAGGAGGCTCATCAGCCACCGGTATATCTGGTATACCCTACAAAACAGATGATAAACTTTAATTTTCAAAAATAACATTGATGGGCCAGCCATATAAATGAAGTGGTTTGAAGGCCATGCTTAATAAAAGAGACAGATGTGCCATTTTGGGGGAGTTGATTTGTTTCTTGAATATATATAAATAGAACTCAGAGGTACTAGAAATGTATGAAAATCGCAAAATTCCTTCCAAAATATCTGCAAGTCAAATTTATTTTCCTATTTCTATAGATTACACAGATAATTGTGTACACACATATGGATATAAAGGTTCAAATTTTTACGGTGAGCTGTCAGACTAAGGTACAATTGCTCAAAAATATGTTACACCTGTCCCTTTAAATCATGACACACCCCAATCTAAATTGTGTATACTTGTATTATAAATTTAGTATAATGCACATAACAAGTTATATGGCATTAATACAAAAGAATATTGCCAACAATGATGAGTTGACAGCTCATCTATATTGACATGTAATGCGAGTCACGAAACCTAACTTTTTGGAAACTGTTTTTTTTTAAAAACTTGACATGCTATGACAGTTTTATTAAGATTGTGATAGTAAAATTGTTAGAATACAGTGGAGATGAAACAATTCAGAATACAACAAAGAAAGGAAATTGTGATCTAATTTGAATTAGAAACATTAAAATAGAACCTGAAACATGTTGCTACTAAGAGTTAAATGCTATGCGATCTATTGCAACTTCTAATTTTAATTTGATCAATTAGAAACACACTTACATTGAAAAGATATTCTACAGCTCTATCAGGATTATTAAAACTTGCTCGCAGGGCCTGGACAACTTGTTCTCTATCAAACCCCATGCTCATTATTTCTTGTAACATATTCTCATACTCCTGTCCTGTTACTAGGGTACTCTCGGCCGACATCACCGCTGACACGTCATCTGACATGACAGTACCAGACGACACTGTAGATGGAGTCCTAGAAATACAAAAGACATTGAACTCAATATTCACCTCAGATATAATTCATTGGACAAAAATATCTATAATTCTTGAATGAACCATTACATAGACACTGTAGTTTACAGATGGAGTCCCAGACAATCAAAAATATACACAACTCTGGTCCAGACATACTTTAGCCCTTAAAATATATGCTGCACAAGCCCATAGAGCTCAGCGTCAATCACTTGTAAGAATTGAGATCTTCTTCCAACCATCAAAAATATATTGAAGAGATCTGAACTACTTTAATTCCAAAATGTTCTATAATTATCAATATGTGCAATATAAATTTCCATGTGAGTCTATAAAAAATGTATTGACTACATACCCCTGTGGGGATTCTGTAGATGGTGTGCTCTGTGTTTCCATACTAGTTGTTGATGTAGTCGTTAAAGAGGATTGTGAGGGTTGTACAGTCGGGGTAGGGGCAGCCGCTGGGGTAGTTTCCTGCACAGGCGTGGCTGCAGCCGGAGCTGGAGTGGGTGTGGCTTCTGCAGGTTTTGCAACCGGGGTAGCTTTTGGCTGAATAAATAAATACATAAAATTTAAATAATTTAAATCTTTTTGACGATCTATAAACTTATGTGAATACAAGCATTATACAAAACATAATACAACATTAAAACTATGATTTCAAACTGTAAGGCAATAGACTTCTTACTCTTGAAAGTCAACCTCTATTTCCAAAACTTACTATCCTAGAGCCTTATTCTTGACAATTATTAATCAAGATAAAATTCAGACTTAAAGAAATACAGTTATCTAAATTTAAACTAGATTTGAATTATTGATCAACCAGATGACTTAAACGGATGACTTTAATCCAGGGATTCTCGAGCAAATAAGCTTGGAATTGCTAAAGCGCCACAGACCTTAGTGAAGGCCCCCGCCTGCATCGCTCTCCCCCCATCCTTTCACATGCTCCTCAAATGGCGAGCGCCCAAGTTGGGAATCCCTGCTTTAATCCATCGCAAGTTATGTTTTTAAAATAAGACCATTAATAAAGATATTATGTGAAAGCAGCAATAGATGATCTCTTGTCAATCAAATATATAATACATACAAATTCTTAGAACACATTTCATAATTACCTTAGTGACCATAACAACTACAAAATTTTTCTCATCAATTTTATATTCTTCTATTTTCTTTTCATCATCTAATATTTTACCTGAAATTAACATCATAATCAAAATTACTGATGAGCTATGAAATGTTGTCAATGAGAGGGATTCACAAGACGTTTGTTAGCCTTAGTATGTGTAGTGTACCGACATGTAGTGGTCTCCCCCTTAGTTTTCTCTTCCATTTTTAATTTTCATCTGTTGAAACAAACACCAGGCCTCTATCAATATCAATATCCTTAGGCTACAGTTACTATTTTTAAAGATGAAAATAATAATAATAATAATACCTGCATAAATAAGTTTCTGACCAGCCACAGGAAAATCTTTTCCTTTAACATCTTCCACTTTGGCCTTTAAATCTTTCACCTAAAACACAAGACAATTCCAAATAATTAACACCTGTTTTGAGTTTTGTGACGTTCGTCATACACAGGCATCTTAAGGCACTCTATGGACTAATTTCTGGTCACTGTCATTTCACAATGTTTACAGAATTACATTTTGCCTATTATATTTGTATGAATTAAAATATTAAGCAAAAAAAGACCACTGAGAGTCTAAAATTGCCTTCGGGTTGACAAGAATGCAAGCCACTGCAAAAAATAATTATTCTTTGATTTCACAGACACAGGAATGTAATGATATCAGAAATGTGGGCAATTCACATGAGAAATATCTGGATGGTTTAATTCCAATGTAAAATTTTCTAATACATGCCATTTAATTTTGAATATTATTTGTGAAATGGGATAAAAACTTCAATATTGAGAATACTTTGGTCAGTGACCCAGTAAGTAGACTACTAATTTAAAATTAGTCTATCTAAGAAGGAAAAAAAATCACATATGTTCAGCAAAAATCTAGTTTCAAGTCTTCAGATAAGTTATCTTTAGCACAAGACACTGATTTACAGATTCACACACGTTTCGTTTTCTGAAACGCCACAAAAATATTTGAGATCATTTCTCGACTTACCGGCAATGTTGCGTCAATTTCAACTTTAAAAGTTTCTTGTTGTAAGGTTTTCAGCGTTATTATCATCTTGGGTCGTGGCTTCCAGAGGAAATATTTACCTCTTCTTTGTTATATAGAATAAAATCAAACAAAAACTTGCAAGTAATGATTCCCTTTCAGGACAGTCGCCATTTACAAAAAAAAGGCTCGCAAAAATTGTCTCGCTTGTAAAAGTGTTAGGTAGAATTTTCGTTTATACCATTTTTGAATCCATCACTATTTCATTGATTTGCAAATATATAAATATTCCTTAATTTTCATTAAAAATATTTTTGATACTTATTTATATGCACCAGAAATCAAGAAAATACTTTACTCCATAGCTGAAATTGTACTTCCGGGTCATAGGTTACAGGGATTTCCTTCATTCTTGGGAAAGCCCTTGGAGTGAATAAGCGTGTGTATATTTGGAAACTTGCATAAACATTCTAATTTAGACCTTCGTGAATGTTCCTTTGTTCCCATCTTTCATCAGATTCGTTTTTAGAACAAAGCCAAATACACTGATACATAAAACAGAGACTAATGGGCAAAATTTTGAATAGGGCTGTGTCTGGACCAAGAAGGAGAACCCCCCACTCCCACCTCATCCCTATGCCCTTAAATTACCCCATCACGTTAACACCTCACCCCTTTCCTGCCACATACACTAGGCACCAGATCAGATGTCTTGTCAGCTATATCTTTTTAAGGTCCTCTTAGTTAGAAGTACAAATCACTCATAAATGATCCTTATTTTAGCTGCAGTGGCTCATTGAGTTAGACACTTGCTCGCTAACCTCAAGGTCCAGGGTTCAATCTCGGCATAGGTTGAAATATTCTCGGATTTTTCAACCCGGTTTCCCCCTGTCGGTGATAGAGACAAAAAGTGTCTAGTTGTTCAAATGATACACTAAACCAAGGCCCCGTGTGCAATTATATATAGGATAGGCTGTGCATGTTAAAGATCAGTTGGAAAAGAGCAGGCTAATGCCACTGTTCTGGCAAAATTTCCCTATATGTACCCTGCATGAAAATGGTGCAGAAAAGTAAGATGTAAATCTCCATTTTATTTCATTTCATTTTATTTTAGATATCTATCGGAAATTCAAGAAATTGTAGTTGAACATTAAGGAAAAATGTCTGAAGAGGAACCCTCTGCAGCCCCAACGCCAAAAGATGGTCAATGTTCATTTTATTTGAAGAAGAAAAATCGTTTCTGTCGATTTCGGCCTAATAAAGATCAGAAATACTGTGCTGAACATTCTATCACTATGGGGGTAAGATCTTAAAAGTTGTAATGTTTGAGGAGATTAAATGGTATGGTCTCTTACCATAGGCATCCTTTTTTTACCCTAGCTAAGGAAATTTTTTCCCAAGATGTTACTTTAATCTTAGCCATGATTATAACTTTCTAATATTTCTAAACTATTGCACCTTATTTTCACATGAGTCTTTACTTTGTGACCTAGGCCAGTGCTTTTATGAGACTACGTTCTCATCACCTTCTAACACAATCATCTTTGTGCAAATCATTCTAAAACCTTAACTAACAGTAGGTCTACTATTTTCAAGCTGATGATCCAATTCACAGGAAATAACAAGTGAGAAGACAAATCAAGGCTCTATCTATGTGAATTTTTCATTCTATTTATGTTTTGTTTCAGGTAGAATTAGAAAGAAAAAGAGTTGTCTGTCCTTTAAATCCATTACAGTAAGTCTTAATCAAAATGACTTTAATGAAGAGAATCTTTTTATTATTTGCTACATTTCAAAATAAAATTATTCAAATATTGAGTTAACATAAATGAAAATTTGTCAAGAGCGCAAGACAGGTTGGTTGGTAGATGACAAGTTAACGTTCGCTTCCATTGGATGCTGATATCGCTGAGCTCAAGACTAAAAATTTCTGATATTTATAGCTTTTTTCAAAATGAAATCAGATGTGTAGTTCATCTACAATTAGGTTGAATTTTAATTCTATAAAGTGATATGTACAGCTGAATATAAGCTCTATTATTTAATTAGATGACTATATTTCCTTTTGAGGAATGCCAAGAGAAGTGAAAATAATGAGCTTTTATTTTTTCAGTACCTGCTATGAGGATATGTTGAGGAAACATATTAAGAAATGTAACAACAGAAAAAAACCAGAAGAGGTTGGTATTTTTTTGTTCAAGAAGATAAAAACTATTGTTAACCTTCTGAAATTCAAGATAGCACACTATGCATGTAAAATTAATTTTATATGCAGAAACTTCACATATTTAAATTATTATTATAGGTGCACTATGTTGAAGGTATCAACTCCGGTAGTGATGTTGAAGAGAAAAAGGTGAAGTAATTATATTTTTTACATCTGTGCTATATCTACAATTTTCCTTGCCCAATGTTTAATGCATTGTCCGTTATACTAACCTGGACTGGTTATATTTTTGGTCTCTTTGGTACTTTGGCCAAGACTTAATTTTTCGCGTTGGCTCTTCTCTTTAAGCCCCTGTTTCCCCCTGTCAGTGATGCAGGTAAGCGGGACTGACATAGAAAAAGCATTTAGACATTCGAATGGGACAATAAACGGAGACCCTGTGTGCTACAGGCTGTGCATGTTCGACAGTTGAAAATTGAAAAAGAGCGGGCTAATGCCGCTGTTCTGGCAAAATTTCCATCATTGCATCCTGCATGGCGTTGCCTGTCTTCATTAGTCATTATGGTGCAGAAATATAGGACGTAAAACTCCATTCATTTCATTTTCTCCTCTTTAAGCTTAAAAATTTTTTTGTCTTCTTCCCCATATTCAAACAATTTCTATGACTTAGGCACAGACTTGGGTATTTTTGATAGTTCTCTCAAAACACAAATTAAGGCTCTTTTGATCTTTTCATTTTAAATTTACATTTGTGACTTTAGTCTAGTTGTGGATAATTTAGAAAGAACAGTTTGAATTATTATTAGGATAATGGGCCATCTATTTCAGGTTTCTTTTAACTCTATAGATACTGCAGACCTACGTTGTCTCATAGAAAAAATAAACAAACTTTATGATGGTGAGTTCCTCCCTGTGTTCATCATCTCTCTTTTACATTATAGCTTTCAGAAAACCTATTGATATGACTTGCACTATTTTCTGACTGTTTCTATAACTTGTTCAGTACTAATTTATGTTTATCTTGGCAAGGCATTGAAAGCATGTCACAGATTTTGAGGCCTATGGTTTTCAAATTCATGAATAAAAATAAATTCATTTCCAAATATGGTCAAAAGCCCACTTGCTTTATAAAATGTGTTTAGACCATTGATAGTTCTCTGAAGATTGCACAGTTTGAAACTCTTGAGGAAGAACATGTTTCAGGTTCTGTTGTAATATTTCTATATTTTGTGTATATTGCTAGAGTATATTGGAACTATAGAAGAAGATATCTTAACACATGATTGTTTAAAAGAAGAATTAGAAAATAGTTCGTATGGAACGGCAGCCATGAGACATCGGAAACAACAGGTAAGAGTAAGGCTTATTAATGAGGATAGAGGGCTTATTCATAGCCACCAGACGTTCACTCTGACCACCGACTGAGCTTAGTATTCCTTGACCACCATTTGTTTGACATAACCAATCAAATGATATCATGTAAAGTTTCCAACTGTCCCCATTATACAGAGATGTAAGACTTTCGGAAAATGAAGTGGGCTTCTGATTCATTTATTTTCTGCATGAAGCTTCCAAAAGTTACGGAAATTAATTCAATGATCACTTACATCTCAGTTATATCTTCTCTATATATGCCTATTTCCATGTATCTTACTGATAATATTATCGTGTTATATTTATTTCAGGCGTCACTAGTAGGTCATATGAATAAATTAGGTTTACTTCAAGATAATACCAGGTTTATTGAGATGGGAGCTGGTAAAGGTATGCAATTGTTAATTTGTTGTGTAGCAAAGATATATATGTGCATCAAGGATTTTGAGAAATAAAGCAATCTGATTGGTTGATACAACTGAATTAAAAATCGGTTATAATGACTGACCAATCAGTTGAATTGAAGACCTGGTTCAATGCAGCAGAAATTATGACAAAAACTTTTGTTGATTTTTTGGGGAAATGGGTCTGGGGTTTAGTTATATGAATGAAAAAAATCCTGAAAATCTTAAAGGATTCCAAAGATAAACATGTTGTTGGCTTTAATTTGCTGTAATGTCTGTCCTAGGTCAACTATCACACTGGGTAGAGAGGGCGGTACAAGATAAAAATAATATAAGTTTTTTACTGGTAGATAGAGGAAGTGCTAGATATAAGGTAACATTATTTGTTTTTGATGATAAATATATAAAAAATGTCCTGAACTAAATCTTGACTAAGTTCATTAAACAAGAATTAATCCCTTTTACTGGTGTGAATGGTAATACCAAAAGTGACTTAACATTAAAACAGTAGTTGAACACTGCTAGAAAGGATACTTACTGTTTTTATGAAGCTGTCTATTACTTCTCTTGTAATAAATTTAGATTTCTATTACAGTTTGATTGTTATCATAATAAAAGTGACAGTGGTCCAGAGTTTGAGAGGCTGAAAATAGATATAGAACATCTGGATCTAGGTAAGCATTGAAACTAATTTTCACTCAAATCACAAAATCAAATAGCAAAGAAAGACAATGTTGAAGGACTTTTCCAGTTTCATATAAAAATAAGGAGCAAGATGGCCTGAACAGCAGGTGATAAGGTGACCCAATATTACTCATACTCGCAGAAATAACATTATTGAAATGTCTAGCTGTTGTGTGGCCTATAACCCTAACCTGCTGTATATTGATAATATTCTAATTATAGATAAAGTAGCTAGTATCAAAAACAGTCAAAAAGAAAATGTGGCCATTGGTAAACATCTTTGCGGGGCAGCAACAGGTTGGTTATTTTAAAAGCAGAGAGAAGAATTTACTCTTAGGACCCCTTGATCTGGTGTGTGCAGAGGCCACCAATAAATTTTCTATCTTAACGATTGGTTATTTAACAACACGATTCACATTTCATGCCAGCCATAACGTGATGTCGTAATCTCGTATATTCATGATGTCGAAAAAATCTAGGTCGAAAATGCGTTCAAAAGTCATTCTTATTGATCCTGTGTATACAAAATCGAAACATTATTATTTCTGAAAGGGTTTTTTACAATAAAATTTGGATTTCATCATAAACCTGACTATTCCTTTAAGTACCCCTTTTAATGAGAATGCCAAATTATTCAATTGAAAAAGAAAAATTGTTAGATATTGTAATCTCTGTATTTTGTAGATTTAGCTTTAAGATGTCTGTTAAGTCACAATGGTCAGAACAGACACACTTGTCCCGAGAGTCACAACAGTGAATTTCCAAATAAAAAACTAAAAACAAATAATGGAGGTTCTATAGCTCAAACAGAAAGGTGTGTATTTTTTTTCTATCAGACAATTTTTAACATTTCTGAACATCACAAATAGTTGCAAAATTTCCTTCATTAAACACTGCATGTGGTCTTTAGCCAAACAAAGGTCAATTTCTCAATTAATTTTCCAGTAGAAGAAGTATAAAAGGAGTGGTTATAGCGCTATGTTGTCATCATAGATGTACATGGAAATCATATGTTGGTAAAGAGTTTATACGTTCAGTAAATCTTACTAGTACAGATTTTAATATTATGTCCAGTATGAGTAGCTGGGCAACCTGTACATGGAAAGGCTGGAAAGCTCAAGGTGGGTCAAAGATAACCCTTTCAACGCTAGCAGCTACCAGCCACACACTAATGCAATATATATCCGAGCAGCTGGTATACGGGCCGTTACCAAGTGACGTCATACAATGTTAACGTCATACGTTTTTATTTTTATTACTTGGGGTTCAGGGTATATGACATTATATTTCATTTACACTCAGGGTTCAAAGGGTTTATGGTTGAATTCATGTTTTCAGTGTTAAGCTTTAGAAAACTTTTCTCAGTATTTGTATTGAAAGAAGGAATTACAAATTATTTAGTGACTTTCAGTTTGCCGTTACATCAATTATATATATGAGGTTTTTTGAGCTCCAATCTATATCCTATAATATTTTCACTAAGAGGGAAACCGAGTACTAGGGTAATGTAAATTTATATATGTCACTGCTCAAACTAATTAGTGGAAACAGGACAAGGCATGCTGATTACCCTAGGACACCTGGGCTCCCATTCTCTAAACGATCTTAGTGCTAGGATGTCCTAGAATCAATGTTAGAAGATAAGAACCTAGGATATCCTAGCGCTAAGATCGTTCGAGAATATGTGGCCTGAATATCTAGTGTCCAATTGACTTCAAAGGGTTTATGGTTGAATTCATGTTTTCAGTGTTAAGCTTTAGAAAACTTTTCTCAGTATTTGTATTGAAAGAAGGAATTACAAATTATTTAGTGACTTTCAGTTTGCCGTTACATCAATTATATATATGAGGTTTTTTGAGCTCCAATCTATATCCTATAATATTTTCACTAAGAGGGAAACCGAGTACTAGGGTAATGTAAATTTATATATGTCACTGCTCAAACTAATTAGTGGAAACAGGACAAGGCATGCTGATTACCCTAGGACACCTGGGCTCCCATTCTCTAAACGATCAATTATATATATGAGGTTTTTTGAGCTCCAATCTATATCCTATAATATTTTCACTAAGAGGGAAACCGAGTACTAGGGTAATGTAAATTTATATATGTCACTGCTCAAACTAATTAGTGGAAACAGGACAAGGCATGCTGATTACCCTAGGACACCTGGGCTCCCATTCTCTAAACGATCTTAGTGCTAGGATGTCCTAGAATCAATGTTAGAAGATAAGAACCTAGGATATCCTAGCGCTAAGATCGTTCGAGAATATGTGGCCTGAATATCTAGTGTCCAATTGACTTCACCATTAACATAGCCCATGCTTATTGTAATTTTATCTGTTATTATTTAGAACGAGTTAAAGCTGACAAAACAGACAATAAACAAGAAGAAGAGAATAAAAATATTGAAAACATTGATGATGAACATGAAAATAATCCACAAGAAGATTATAGGTATAATTTTTCAGAAATATTAAAACAGAACCTGAAACATGTTGTTACTCAGAGTTTTACACTGTGTGATCTTCAGACAACTGTATTGGGCTCTATTTTAACAGTGAAAATACTTTGATAGGATATAAATTTTATTTGTTTTGATTTTGTAAATATGATTGTACAAGTGCGTCAATTCAGTTGAATTTTTCTGGATGGAAATGTGTTTTGTTAAATTGCAAAATCACTCAACCTTATATTCTACAAGACATTCTAAAAGAAATGACATACATGCTGTATTTTCAGAGGTGCTATAAAACTAGAGGCCAGTGAAAGAGAAGAAATAGGTAGAAGATGTAAGAGATTGATAGATTATGGTAGACTAAAGTTTTTACAGAACAACAGCTTTACTGTCACTTTAAAATCTTATATTGACTTTTATTTAACACCAGAAAATATTGTTCTGTTAGCTCATAGATAGCAAATACTGGCTCAAAGATAGCAAATTGTCTCAAAGATAGCAAATACTGGCTCATAGATAGCAAATACTGGCTTAAAGGTAGCAAATACTGGCTCATAGATAGCAAATACTAGTTTTTATCTGTTAAGAGTCTAATGCAAACTGAACTGAATGTATATTGACTGAAACTGTTTAAATAGAAATATTTAATCAATTAAAAATTAAATTTTAAAATGAGTTACCTGTCTTTTGTGTTTTATTGGCTCATAGATAGCAAATACTGACTCATAGATAGCAAATACTGGCTCAAAGATAGCAAATACTGACTCATAGATAGCAAATACTGGCTCAAAGATAGCAAATACAGGCTCATAAACAGCAAATTCTGTCTCATAGATAGCAAATACTGGCTCAAAGATAGCAAATACTGGCTCAAAGATAGCAAATACTGGCTCGAATATAGAAAATATACTGGCTCAAAGGTAGCAAATACTGGCTCATAAATAGCAAATTCTGGCTCATAGATAGCAAATACTGGCTTATAAATAGCAGATACTGGCTCTTAGATAGCAAATACTGGCTCATAAACAGCAAATTCTGGCTCATAGATAGCAAATACTGGCTTATAAATAGCAGATACTGGCTCATAGGTAGCAAATACTGGCTCAAAGATAGCAAATACTGACTCGAATATAGAAAATATACTGGCTCAAGGTAGCAAATACTGGCTCATAAACAGCAAATTCTGGCTCATAGATGGCAAATACTGGCTTATAAATAGCAGATACTGGCTCATAGATAGCAAATACTGACGCGAATATAGCAAATACTGGCTCATAAACAGCAAATACTGGCTCATAGGTAGCAAATATTGGCTCATAGAAAGCAAATACTGGCTCATAGATAGCAAATACTGGCTCATAGGTAGCAGATACTGGCTCATAGATAGCAAATACTGGCTCATAGATAGCAAATACTGGCTCAAAGATAGCAAATACTGGCTCATAGATAGCAAATTCTGGCTTGAATATGAAATCCCAATGAAAATCCAAGATGTAAATTTATGAAATGTTTTATACAATATTTACAGTAATGGCAATAACAAAAACAAGATAGAGTCTGAAGTTTTTGGCATGGACATTTTTTTTTTATCTCTGGACAAACTCAACAAATGATGGGGTGGAACAATAGGTGAGAGGAGGGTCATACTACAGCTCAGGATCCTGTTACTCAAAAAAAATCTTATAATTTGAATTATGTGGACTTCTAACACTGAGAAATTCCATTCTATTGACAAGATTGATCGTAAATATTTTGAAGACCAGGGCCAAGGGAAATTAAATCCTATGATTGTTGTCTGTCAGACGCCATAGGTTTAAATCCCCTTCAAGGTAAGAAAAATTCTGATGCAACCACCAGTGCTTTTGAAAGTCAGCCCCAAGACGCGATTTAACTAAGCTTAAGAATTCCAACCTGTCATTTCTGCTATTCAAAAAGTTTTTAAAGACCTTGGCCCACTATAGCACTTTCACTCTATCAAGCTGTGAGTATAGCTCTATGAAAGTCTAACTGAAGGCTCCATTGTATCAGACGTCATTGCCGGTAGATAAATGTATTACTGAATTTGCCAAACATGTCTGGCTTAACTGTTAAAATGTCCAGTTGATTTCACTTTTATACCATCACTTGTTAGAGAATGTCCAGAGTTTTAACAATAATCAAACAACAAAATGGCACAAATGAAAAACAATTGATAATATTAGAGAAACCTTGATTATAGAGGAAAACCAAAGCTATTGGTGGGGTAGAAAGCAACATCTAAAGCTCTGATTGCAAACCTTGAATTCTCTGTAGACCCCTTTTGTACATTTAGAAGCATCTGGTACCCTTTTATCACCAAAGGCAAATTAAAGTCACAAAAGTCGAGAAAGGTAGTAATTTTTCTGCTTATTCAACATCCTTTTTCACAAAGAGACCTCTGGGGTACCCCCAGTAATGTTTGCTGGTTCTCAACCATTGTACGTGCAAAAACATATTCCTATCCTAAACAATATTTGAATGTTTACAATGATTTCTTGGTTCATCAAACCATGTAATGCTCGTCCTATTAAGTCTTCTTGACAAATTAAGGCAATCTAATATACATAAAAATATTTTCCTTCATTTATATTCTTCAGATTATTTTTCTTTAATGGCTACTGTTATAATTCAGACTGACAAATCTGAATCTAGCCATTTCTTGAATAATGTACTGATGGGTTGTCTTTATGTTTATTTTATGGGTAGTTTTTCTGGCCCATTTAGTTTTAAAATATTTTCACTCTGTTAAAAGCCAAATTGCGCAAAAATTTTGGTATCTATACAAAGCTGAACCATTAATGAGTCCATCAAGACATTGCCAGGTATTCTACAATGTCGTAGTGTCCCAAAAATATTACACTAGAAATAATTCAACAGAATTTCAATCTGCATTTGAATCAGAGTTAACTGAAGGGTAAAATGGGATGATTCTACAAATGATGAATGAATAAAAAAACTAAAAACCTTCCCAACAATTAAAAACAAAAATAAAAACCTGTAAATCCACATGATGTTTAAAATAATTGTAAGAAAATAAAATTGTTAACACAGCATTTGGTGGTACAGTAATTATCAAATAGGCCTATTGAGGACACTGCATAATATAAGCATGGTAGAGTTTACAATGGCCTTTATAGAATGGTCTTGTGGACAAACCAGTTGCACATATCATTTTTGAAAAGTGATACACATGGAGCCTTTAAAGCTGGTAAAGCGAATATTTAAATAGTTATGTCCTTTTGAACTTAAAATTTTTTTGTATGTTTTATGTGCTATGAACAGATAAAATTGAGTTTTATCAGCTGGTAAAAATATATTAAGATGACTACATCCTCTGGACCGTAATCATTTCTACTTTTATTTTGCATTTTCATTCTAAAAAGAGATATGCCTGGTAACTACAACTGTTGAAAGAGCATAACAGTTTCTTAAAGAGAAAAAGTCACTTGCATTTTTACTTTACCAGCTGGTAAAGCTATAGTTCAGCTATCTGTGCCACTTTTAAGAATTATAATTTGACATCCAGTTTCCAACAACTACCAAAATACAAAAGCTTACCATGGAAGAAACCTGGTACAGCAAATAGTAAGCTAACTGCATCCTTTTTACATTACATGATAAATGAGTATTTAAAAGAAGAAATACAATTTGTTTTTAAAAAGAATACTGCCCCTTAGAATGGAATTATTCCAAGTTCCAAATTTGGTCAAGAAGAGATAGACTTAACAGGTGCCATGACTAAAGAATAGAATCTCTACATAAGACAATAAGTCCATTAAACTAAGCATATTCAAAATTACTTCATTTAATGAATTATTACTTAGTTTAATGGATTAGTTGGATTATAGAAGGATTTAATCGTATAGTTTTGATCACTGATGAAAAAAGACTTTTTGATCAAGTTTAATTTTTTGGTCATCCTAAGAGGTAGTGTCTTTAAAGTGTTTAAAAATAAAACAATAAGTAGTAAGCCCTATTTCTTTAAATAAGATCTTTATCAAATAATTAATAAATTTTTACTGAAAATAAAGATTGATACCATGTATAAACTCAGACGTAAAGCTTTAACAAAATTTTAACAAAAATACCACAAAAAACAACAAATTACGAATGACAGTAAGCAGTATTTTCTATAAAAATCATTTGAATTACTCATAATTAACCCTAATAATTAGCTTCATTATCTTAAACACATTTCCCAACCATAAACCAAGAATTCATAAGAATTGAATAACATAAACTTATTTTCGGTTTTGAAATGTCCCCAATGTGCATCAATACCTTTGACTGATTAAGGGAGGTTGTAGCGAGTAATATTTGAAACTATAGATATTTAACTTCAACGCCTAAATTCCTTTATTGGAAACTTGTTGTCCTGATGAGATCTCTATATTCATAACAAATATTAACAGCATGAGATGAGCGTCTATTAAAATTTATAACTTTGGATATTTTACTTTTAAGCCTAATGCTACATTAAAAAATTAATAATATGCTGTGTGATTAAGAATTAATAACCATTTATATCTAATGTCAACAGCATAAGATGTGTGCCAGTCCACTATAATATTACTTTAGATCTACATTGGAAAGTTAGCGGGCTGTCCTGATGAGGACTTAATATCCAAAACAACTGACAGAATGAAATGCCCTCTAGTCAATTGTATACTTTATTAAAGGAATCTCAAATGAAGGCAAGACTAGTAGAAACGCAGACAAATCACAAATCAGTCATGTCTTCAATCTCATTCAAGCAATTAGCAATAAAAACTACACTGATATGAAAAATGTGAGGAAAATTTCTAGAGTTATTGCCCATGTAATAACAAAATATTGAATATTCAAAATATTGAATAACTCTTTATCAAAATCAGTTATTGGCTCTTCAAAATTTTTTATATCTCAGCTAATCTCATTCTCAATAAATTTACAGCCCATGTCTCCAACTTGACGCATAGTCATCATTATCAGAATCTGGTCCATTGTCAAGAAAAATCAATGACGTTTTTTCTTCTTCCGTGATTTTTTTCCTCCCCCTGATCCAGCGTTCCACTGGGACGAAGAAGAGTGTGATTTATGATGTTGTTGTTGTTGTTGCCATGGTGATGATGTTGCCCCACCCCCACCATCTTGAGACATGTTAGCTTTATTGAATAGTTGGTTGATGAAATCTTCTAATTCTGCTTCCCTAAAACAATAAGACATGGTTGAGTTAGATGTAAATCATAGTCAAGTCTGACCAGAACTAGTCTATTGATTTAACATTGCTTGCTCCCGTTTTTTTTCACGTTACTATATTTGTTTTGAAAATTTCAGTGAAAAACTGCGATTAAATCTGATTGTAGATTTATTAAAAAGTTTACAGCCTATTTGGATAGATCAACTCAGACTCTTACAAAACTTATTCAGTAAGAAAATGAATACCAGAAAAAAACTCAACATGAACCCCAGTGACAATTGACAAAAAAAAAATATGACAATTCACAACTGAGAGAAATATCAAGAAGCGTTTGGTACATACCTAGATTGGTTACCTTGGTTACGATGATTTCTATTTCCATCTGTTGCTATACGATATAAGACGGGGTGAGCATTAGCTTGCATATGTTTAAAAAAATCTTTCTGTAAAAAAGGAAACAGAAACAAATTGTGATCAGAGGCAAAATTTCTCACTTCTATTAGTTGTTAAAGAATCCTGCATAGTTATTAGCACACAGAGGGCCTCTTCATATCTAAATGAATAACATATCACATGCATATATGGCAGAAAAAACTGGGAATAAAATGCAAAGGTATTATCTATGCAGGGATTGAACTCTTCTAAGTTAGCAAGAAAGCATCACTAAACCACTGCAGCTTTCTGTGAAAGGGAGACCATCCATCAGGGCCGTTGATATGGCGCTATATTCCAAATAGGACCAAAAGGCAGTTCAAATTTCTAAGGATCAATATCCTCTATCAGTAGGATGACATCTATGTTTAAAAGTTGGACTGGCATCTGCTTTTAGCACTAATGCTAGAAAGTAACAAGGGAGACAATCTATGTATAATACAACTTACATGGCAGGCAACCCATTCAGTAATATCAAATACATTGCCGTCCATTATAGCATAGTAATGCCAACAAAACCCTAACATAGTCGTTTCAGCCCATACATCTCCCTGGAAGAAATCAATATATTCATGTTAAACCAAGCGCTTGAATTAGCATAGGATTAATCAATACATTTATATTAAACTCATATTAATGAGCAAAGGATTCAAGACTAAAATTTGAGTCCAGTATTGCAATTTTAGTCAAACACTATTAAAGCTAAAATATAACCAGTATTATAAAACTGTAACACTAGGGAACCTTATATGTTACACAGGCAATAAATCATCTTATTGTGATATTGTTTAGAGTGAAAACTGTATACATACAGAAGAAAAACAGGTTTCGCCATATATGATCAAAACTTTACATAGTGTGATTTTGTTGATTTGT